CTTACAACGGCCGATATTGATAAATCTGATCGGCGTTTGTCATTTAGTTTTGGCCTCCTAAAAGGTCGGAGGTCCACTTGAGGCCCGCTATTTTTCCACTCGACAAAGGTACTAGTGGTTTAAGAAACCATGTTGTTGTAGACGTGGGATACTAGATAGATGATGGTCACCCACATTAATCACCCACTAATCAAATTCTTAATCTTAAACCGCCAATACCTTTCTCATACACCGGCTGAGGGTGCTGCCAAGCGCGGTCGATGGATCTAGTTGGCACCGGAGGATCTGGTAGGTGCCAATGGATCTGGTTTATGGATGGCATCGATTGGGGTGGGTGAGGTACATGATATCAGCATCCACGACTTGACTAGGCCCGAGTAAACCTTTGCTCAACTCAGGCAAGGCCAACCTCTCAGCCACATTTGGTGGTAGTTGGTGTAACATGAAAAGGCGTGGATGAGCTCATTGCCTTCTGAACGCTTCATTGCATATGGGGTCGGAAAACCAATGAACAACACGGTGAACAACGTAAGTGACGGTCTCGGTGCAGTTCAACATCTATGGAGTGGAAAAAGGGAGGTGCCAATAAATACACGCTAACTTTGGTGATCTAAGTATAGGTTGAAGAGATATTTTCCACTTTAAAGCTTTAAGTGGACTCAGCAAATGGTTTAGGGGTGGGCTGTAGGCTCTTAGATTGACGCGAACATCGGGTTCAAAAAGGGAATTAGTCATGTACAACCAGGTCAAGGGTTTGTCATTTCCAGGCACAGGGCTAGGTCGACACTTGAGGTGTATGGAAATGGCATAACTTGCAGCCCCAAGGGATATAGTACCTCAAATACACGATGATTAATGACACCCCCCCCCCCCTCACGGTATTGTAAAGTTGTTTGAAGGAACGCTAGATGCAATTTCCAGCAGGTGACGCTCCCCATCAATAGATGGATTAGCCCATTGACCAAGTCCTCAATCATGAGGACTCTCTTACCACCGCTAGGATAGTGGACTTGGGATAGGGTTTTCCCAGGAAAAAAAAGGAAAGGGTTAAGGGTGGTGCAGGGAGTTAGGCCTGGTCTGCACTTGCAGTTGCGACTACTGTTGTACTCTTGGAAGAGCAACCAGTGTTATTTTTTTGCCGGCTTCGCTGCAGTCAGTTCTTGACCGAGGGGTCGAGAAGCGGTTCTTGCTTTAATGGTGGCAACATTTGTTAGTAGAACACGTAAAAAGAAGCTTCAACACACTAAACAAATTATTTTTTAAATGGGAAAAATATTGAAATACCCTTGAAATTTTGGGTATTTCGTCAAATACCCATAAAAGACATCGGTATGGCAAAATGTCCCTACGACAATAGTGTCACTTTGCGATATATCCCACTTGCCAATTTGACCTGGCAACTTTTGCATATACTTCTACCGTGCCCTGGACAACTTGTCTATGTGGCCCGGTAGTTCTGGTCGTTGGGCCTTGCAAATGGCAAAAGAAATGCATGGGCTCCTGCAGCCCAGGGCCAGGAAATATGTCGTAGTTGCCAATGAGGAGGACGGGGGCAGATGCAGAAGTTTGGGCCATTTCAGTGTACCCCTGTGTTTTAGGGTACCTGACAAAATACCGAAACTTTTAGGGGTGTTTCAACAATTTTTCCTTCGTTTATTTTGGCAAAATAGGAAAAACTGGTAGTTTTTCCAAACTCCGAAATAATCGGAGGCCGGGTCCGATGACAACTAACATTGATAAATCTGATCGGCGGTTGTCGTTTCTTTTGGCCTCCTGAAAGGTCAGAGGCCCACTCGAGACCCGCTGTTTTCGTACTCGGCAAAAGTACTAGTGGTTAAAAAGACCAGGTTGTTGTAGACGTGGGACACTAGACAAATGACAGTCACCCACAGTAATCGCTCACTGATCAAATTCTTAAACCTAAACCGCCTGTACCTTTCTCATATATTGGCTGCGGGTGCTGCCGAGCGCGGCCATGAAGCTGGTTGGCACCGACCAGATCCCACTGCCGAGCGCGGCCATGGAGATGGTTGGCACCGACCAGATCTCGTTGCCGAGCGCGGCCATGGAGCTGGTTGGCACCGGAGGATCTGGTTGGTGCCGATGGATCTGGTCGCTCCCCATGGGTTGTGCTGGGGCACAGCGTGAAACGAATGTAGCGGGCCCAGCCACCGACGACCAGGTCTATGGTGCAAAGTTGGGTGCCAACTGAGGTTGCGATATGCAAGGAGAAGTGCATCTGACGAAATACGGCGTTTTTTTTTTGTTTTTTTTTTTTTGTCATTCGAACTTCAGGAGGCCGGGGACCTCACAAATCAACCCGAAAGTTATCCTAGCAGCATCAACCAGTTTCACTTATAGATCTCCACTAACGAATTCAAGAACACAAAAAGGAACACTGTTACTGCAAATTTGTTTCCTTATCATTCTGTCGTTACCTTTCATTGCCAAAGACACATCTCCACTCATACCTATTAAAACGAAAAAGCAGACAACATACTGACTCACCAACTTCTATTTGACCCTCTAACCCCTATCCGAACTCTAAGAATTCTAACCACTGCCCATAATGTTGCACCTCTACTAAAGGGGCCTGCTCATAGCACCCAGAACCAACCTAGTTTAGCGGTTGGTTGAAACTCGCGTTCCACTTAACTAGTGGCACTCCACCACCCACCTCCCACTAAGCTGCCTCCCGCGGCAGGGCTTCTTATGAGAACCGAGTGTCCCGGTTCACCTAAAACTAATATCTAACACCTGACTCCACCAGTTCCTTATGCCCCTATCCTCCCTGAAGTGGTTCAGTCACCCAAGGGGAGAGGACGAGACCCTTGGTCCTATGTACCCCAACCAAGTGATGTCGATTTGCCCACATATCTAAAAACCATTGCAGTTGCCTTCTGCTCCCCTTTCCGACCCTCGCTCTTTTCCTCTAATCGACCCTGATTACCTCCCTCAGGCTCTGTCTCACTGCTTTCTTGATCTCCACGTCCGAAAAAGGTCGTCTTTCGAACCTCGCCCTATTCCTGTCCTTCCAAATGACCTCATAGAGGATGCCCCTTGTCGCCTGTGCGATATAGGGTCAACCACGGTTTCTATGTACGCCTGCTGGGAGGAACCCCAACAACACCCATCGTTCTTCCTAGTCTACCACAGGGTCCCCAAAGCGCTGCCAGTGGTATTTCCACCACTTCCAGATTCTTCGGGACGCAGGGCACTCCCACCAGAGGTGTCGCGTGGACTCAAAAGGCCAGTTGCAGCGAGGGCACTTGAGATCCACTTGCATGCCTCGACTGACCAGCCAGACAGCTGAGGGTGTTACCATCAAGGAGATCTGCCACAGTATTGCCACCTATTTTCCATTCGGGAGGTACGTCAACGAGTCCCACAGGGCCAAGAACAAGGATCCCGTCTCTGACAAATCCTCAGAGGTCACTGTTTACCATCTGCACCGCAGGTTTCCTGTTCCTGGTTTTCCTCCTCAGATTGTAGCCCTTTGCAACCGAGTATTCTGACAAGGAGAGTTGAGGTTGTCTTGCTTCCCCCGTAAACCAACTCCATGCTGCAGGATCAATGCGTAACCTCCTTAGTGGAGAGTGTCCTATCCACACCCACTTCCTCTTTTCCTCAGAAGTACCTCGTTTGCCCACTACTCTTGCCTGTGGAGGATTCCTCCAGATCTTGATAATCTCCTCATTGACAATACGCAACTCATTTGAGTGGGAGGTACCTGAGTTCTCACTGATGACAAACAAGTCATCAGCAAGGGCTTTGACATTGCATTGTGTGCCGCTGTGCATCGTCAGACCTTTGAGATACTGATTCCGGTGCAGTCTGTTAAGAAGTACCTCCATCTGTGGCACAAAGAGGGGTGGGGCAAGAGGACACCCTTGCCTCAAGGATCTTGAAAGCTTGAACGACTTTGACAGGTACCCGTTGATCATCACCATTGAGGTAGAGAAGGTGTACATTGCCACTAGCCATTTGCAAAAGGGGGAGCCAAATCCCATTCTTCTCAGGGTCGTAAATACAAAAGGCCACCCTACTTTGTCGTAGGCCTTTTCGAGGTCCAACAAAAGAACTGCCATGTTCATGCACTCTGACTGTACTACCTCCAAGACTTCCAATGCTATGACCACGTCGTTGAAAATAGACCTCCCTTGCACAAAGGCGCCCTGGTCTCCTTCGACTAAGCTCGGTAAGTGGCCTCCCAACCTCCTTGCCAAGGTTTTCGCCAATATCTTATAGGACACATTCAACAAAGAAATTGGGCGCCAGTTCCTGACTTCAGTCTTATCTCCCTTCTTAAACAACATGCTAATTACTCCATGTGTCATCCCTTTCCCCAAACGGCCACCTACCAAGATCTGGTTATATAGCTCAACTAACCTCGGCCGTAGCTCTGCATCTTGGAACTACGGCGTTTTTCAGGGCACCGCACAAATTGCACTGGTAAAGGAAAATTTGACAGAGGAAAATTATGCCCTCGCTTGGATAGGTACTTTGCGTCGGATTTGCAGGGGGAAAACGGGGCCCGTAAAGAAAAGGTGATCACTAAACAGTGCCAGGGACTCCCGAGATGGCAAAAATAGCCAGTCAGGTACCTGCACCTGTTGGTGCAGTCAGCCGGTGTGGCGTTGCCCTTCCCCGATCGTACCGGTTTGTATACATTGGGGGGTCCCGTCGGGAGCTGAAACCGGTAATATGGCCCCTGCTCGAAGACGGCACGCAGAAATCGAGAAATGTCCAAAGAAAAGGAAAACGCGGGGGCGGCCGAGCGCACGGGAAAAAGGCGGCGGGTGACCGAAGTAGTATTGCTGAATGGTACTATTGATGTTGAGATCATGCGTTCAAACAGATCGATGACGAACAACGCTGTGGACGGACTCACCGGAAAACCACCCACCCTCTTTTTGCCCGCTGCCATTTTCTGCCCGTTTACAACTTCGGCCGGGCCCATGGGAAATTGGGCCCTCGTGCCCTGATCCCCATCGTAGCGGCCGGCCTCTGAAGGTTCTGCTTCCGCCCAGGCGGCTCCTCGGTCCATCTTCCCAAGGTCGAAGGTGCCCACCCGCGTTGGGGCCATTCTCCGCTGCCGGCCTCGTGCTAGCCGCCGCCACTGCGATTCGAGCCGCGCGGCTGGCCGTACTGCAATGTAATGGGGAGAGAGAGAGAGAGAGAGAGAGAGAGAGAGAGAGAGAGAGAGCCTACCGTCCTCGTGGAAGGTAAGTCGGCTCTTCCATCCCCACACTCTTCTTCCTCGTGGCCTTTTTCCTCCTTTGTCTCATCTTCTCCCTCTCTTTGTCCTCCTCTTTGACGTTTTTCTCCACCTCACCTACCTCCCAGTGTCTCCTTTCTCTTCTTCTGTTTCTTCTTCTGCCTCCTTCGGTCGACCACGGGACATGGTAACGATACCCATACATGATGTCCTCTCCGACCTCCTCCTCTTCGACATCTGCTTCATCCTTCTCTTTGGTCTCCTCCTCTTCCTCTTCCTGCTCGTCTTCGCCACTCATCTTCTAGTCCCTCCTTTTCGTTCTCTCACTTCCACTCTCTCTCTCTCTCTCTCTCTCTCTCTCTCTCTCTCTCTCTCTCTCTCTCTCTCTCTTCTCCTCGTTCTCTTCCTCGGCCGCCCGCTTCTCGTCGATCTCCTTCTCGCATTCCGCAGCCCTCCTTTTCCTTCCTATGTGCGTATTGCGCGTCCTATTCTCTTTGGCCTCTTCTTCTCCTTCCTTCGGCTCCGGCCTTGACGCCCGATCCAACTCACACCATTCTTACCATACCCCTATAGTTTCCTTCTCCGTCTCCTCCCCGTCCTCCTCGTCCTTTGCCTCCTTGTTTTCATCTTCCCTCCTCCTCCCGTTTTCACTTTGCTTCACAGATTCCTGTTCCTGCGCAAGTTTTTCGTTGTCGTCGTCGTCCTCTTCCTTCTCGCACTGTTAACCCGGTGGTATTAGCGCCGGGTCCGACTGAGCATGTTTGGTGCTCCGCGCTGGCACTGATCGCCTAGCCAATATGCCCGCCCTTGGCAAACCACGCCCCTGATCGAGTATCGACGCACGCATAAGCAGCCCCTTTTCCTCCCCCCTCCGTTCCTCTCTCGCCTGCGTCGGCGCCGGGTGCAACACACTGCAGGAGCAGTTTTTACACTCAGCTCAAGCATCGATCGCTTACGCCACGCGGTTGCGCCTAAAATTCCACACCCTCGATCGAGGGTCGAGGCCCGCCTAAGCTCCTCCTGCTCCCTCTTCGTGTTGCTGCGCCTGCCGCTCATGTTGTTCTTCCTCCTCCTCTACCTCCTTACTCTTGCTGTTCTTCTCATTTTGCTCCTTCTTCCCGTTACCGCGCCTGCCGCTTATGTTGTTCTTCCTCCTCCTCTACCTCCTTACTCTTTTGCTGCGCCTGTCGCTCAAGTTGTTCTTCCTCCTCCTCTACCTCCTTACTCTTGTAGTTCTTCTCATCTCCTTCCTCCAGTGGTCCTTCGTCTTCTTCTTCCTCATTTTTTTCCTGAGTGTGTCTCGTGTGACTCATTTGGCATCACTGTTGCACTTGCCAGCCGCACGTAGTCAATCACGCTGGCAAAGCCGAAGCTGGGTAGGGGCACACACACATAGATGGAGAGAGAGAGAGAGAGAGAGAGAGAGAGAGAGAGAGAGAGAGAGAGAGAGAGAGAGAGAGAGAGAGAGAGAGAGAGAGAGAGAGAGTCATTTCCGATATGCGAATGACAATCATTTATAAAAGTTGCGTGCCAGTTGAACTCCTAATGTCAATCAAGTAACAGGAAGAGAGCTTGTTCACGAGTATGAGAATGATCTGATGTCAATCCCATGTTTGCGTTTCTTGGTATACTTTTGTTGTAGAAGTTATTCGAATTTGTCGATGGAAATGATGACGTGTAATGATTGAAGAAAAGATGCTCTGCTTTAGGAGTTCGCCGACGTACAATGTGCGCACGCGGACGTGTGCACAGCTGCGATGTCAGGGGCCGTCTTTTATGATGAACGGAGCGGAATAGCTTGAGCTTAGAGAGTGTTGTGTTTTCTTCTGCCGTGGATCAGTAGCACGGTTGGTGACTTGTTGTGCGTTAGGTGGAGGCGTCGATGGAATTTTTGTTCTTCTGTAGTGAGGACGTTCAGAGTCTGCTTGTGTGAAATAAGGTCGGGGCGGATAGGTCCGGTCATGCCATGATGTTTCCTGCTGATTGTAGTGACGGTGGTGTTTGTCTCTCTTCTCTTCCTTTGTGATTGACCTTCGGCAGGGACAGCTGAGTAATTGACGCAGGAGATGCGGTGGACAGACCGTGAAGTAAAGTGGCGTGCTGCGATGTCGAGGAGTGCAAACGAAGCGACCAGTAAGAGTTGAAAGGGTAAGTGTAACCCTACGAATGGGAACCGTCTGGACGACTAGGAAACGACAAGTTGGCCGCTCCGTCGAACTGCAGCATGGGGGGTTGATCTTGTGACAGGTTTCTGTCGGTTAACAGGTGTATCATAGTCCGACATTGACTGTTCAGAGGGAGGCTAGCTAAGCAGGTTGGCGGCTGGCAAAGCAGATTGGCGGCTGGCAAAGCAGGTTGGCGGCTGGCAAAGCAGATTGGCGGCTAAGCAGTTTGGCGGCGAAGTAGAGTGGAGGCACACAGGTGGCGGCGAAGCAGTTTGGCGGCGAAGTAGAGTGGAGGCACACAGGTAACTTGTCTGCGCCGTGGCAGGTTTTGGGGAGTGGAAGGAGTGGAGGAAGCAGGTTGGCGGCTGGCAAAGCAGATTGGCGGCTGGAAAGATTGGCGGCTAAGCAGTTTGGGGGCGAAGTAGAGTGGAGGCACACACAGGTAACTTGCCTGGTCCGGGGCAGGAAGGAGTGGAGGCAGGATTTTAGGGTTCCGTCTTGATCTGTTGTGAAAGTGGGGTGACGGCGGCAGAGAAACATGGGGGACGTGAAGGAGGCCGTCAAGGCCCTTTATGTGTTGTTTGAAGCAGCGTCTGGGTATGCTGTGTTCGAGGCGGTGGGGCTGGATGCGGTAGGCATGACTGCAGAGGCCATTCAAGAATCGATCTCGGATCTGAATAGGTTTGGAAGGGTTGTGAACATGACGGCTTTTAAGCCGTTCAGCTCGGCGGCGGACGCTTTGGAGCAAATGAATGCCGTCTCGGAGGGCATCATGACAAGCGAACTGCAAGAGTTTCTGCAAATGAATCTCCCGAAAGTGAAGGCGGGGAAGACTCCACGGTTTGCTGTCGGAGTCGCGGAGCCGAAGCTGGGATCGGCCATCCAGGAGGCGACCAATATTCCTTGTCAGAGCAACGACCTCGTTCTCGAGATTCTGAGGGGTGTTCGTCTGCATTTTAGTCGATTCGTGAAAGACCTGAAGGACGGCGACCTTGAGAAGGCGCAGCTCGGGCTCGGCCATAGCTACAGCCGATCGAAGGTGAAGTTCAATGTGAATAGAGTTGACAATATGATCATACAGAGCATCTGTTTGCTGGACACGTTGGACAAAGACATAAACACCTTTGTGATGCGCGTGCGAGAATGGTACTCGTGGCACTTCCCTGAGTTGGTGAGGGTCATTCCCGATAATTACACCTACACGAGGGTAGCGCAGTTTGTCAAGGACAAGTCGACGTTGAAAGAGGAGGACATCCCTCGATTGGTGGAGATCATCGGGGACGAGGAGAAGGCTGCGGAGGTGTTGGAAGCGGCCAAGTCATCCATGGGTCAAGACATCTCCCCCATCGATCTCATTAACATCGAGAGTTTCGCGCAAAGAGTTGTGGCGTTGGTCGACTACCGCAAAAAACTCCATGCTTACCTCATTAGCAAGATGAGCGACGTCGCGCCCAATCTTGCCGCGCTGATCGGCGAGATCGTCGGCGCACGTTTGATCTCTCACGCCGGCAGTCTGACGAATCTCGCAAAGTACCCGGCTTCCACGGTTCAGATCCTTGGCGCCGAGAAGGCCCTCTTCAGGGCGCTGAAGACCAAAGGCAAAACACCCAAGTATGGCATTATCTACCACTCCTCGTTCATTGGCAAAGCGCAAGCCAAGAACAAGGGAAGGATATCGCGCTATCTTGCGAACAAGTGCTCTATCGCCTGTCGGATTGACTGTTTTTCCGACGTGGCGACGAATGCGTACGGAGAGAAACTGCGAGAGCAGGTGGAGGAGAGGCTAGACTTTTATGACAAGGGAATTGCGCCGAGGAAGAACATTGACGTGATGCACGATGTGATGAAGAGTCTTGCGGAGGGGGAGGAGGGAGAGGAAAAGGACGCGGTCATGGCGGAAGCGAACGGGAAACGGGAGGATGAGGAGGACAAGGGGGCGAAGAAGAAGAAGAAGAAGAAGGACAAAGCAGAGAACGACGTGGCGGAGGTGGAAAAGCAGGAAGATGGGGAGGAGCAGGAGGGAGAGAAGAAGGCGAAGAAGAAGAAAAAGAAAATGGAAGAGTCCGTGGACGGAGAGACTGTGGCGCCGCTGTTGAAGAAAGTAAAACTGGATGACGACGCCGGAGAGCCGAAGAAGAAAAAGAAGAAGAAGGTCAAAGCCTCGTCCGAGGATTGAATATTGTTTTTTTTTACGCTTTTCTTTTTGTCTCTTGCTAGGTTTAGGTTTTTGTGCTTGGGAGGTTGCCAACATTTGCGTAATTGCGAATTTTTGTAGAGACGGAGTAGCAGAGGGGAGCAGTAGGTTTCGCCAGCTAGAGAGAGAGAGAGAGAGAGAGAGAGAGAGAGAATGCCGTTGGGCTCTCTGTCTCTCTGTGTTCAAGTGTGTGTCACGCACAGAGCGAGAGAGAGAGAGAGAGAGAGAGAGAGAGAGAGAGAGAGAGAGAGAGAGAGAGAGAGAGAGAGAGAGAGAGAGAGAGAGAGGTCTGGAAGAGAGAAAGCGGTTTTCCTAGCGCGCAGGTAATCATTCTTCTCGACGGCCTCTTTTTCTTTGGCTTTGCCCAAATTCTGTTTTGAGGAGATTCTTCAGGTATGGGAAGAGGTCTGTGGCGAGCGATCGGTGTGTTTCCTCCTTTTTAGCTTTGCTCCGTAGCAAGTGAAAGGAAGAGAGTCTTACTGTTTTCCGTTGTGCAAGTGAAATTCGTGAAGTTTATGCTGAAAATTGTTTGGTATGACTGATTAGAAACCTTCTTTGCATGGAATATCTCAGATTCTCTATGGCACAGATTCGGTGATGGTTAATGACGAACACGGCTGAGGGCAGAGGACGGGCAACGGGCAAGTGGCTTTCCCAGATCTGCCCAGTTTTTCCTTTCTTTTTTTTCTTCGGGTAGTGGTGCCAGACGTGAGAATGGCTGACAAGCAGTACCTTCTTCCCCCGAATACAACGTACGGTCATTATAGCTGTATTTAGACTTAAACATACCCCAAATACAGCTATAATGACCGTACGTTGTACCTGGGGGAAGAAGGTAGTGCCAGCTGGCAAAATGGCTGATTAGCAGAGGCGCCAGCTGGCGAAATGCCCGACAGCCAGTGGCGCCAGCTGCTGGTAAGATGCCTGAAACGCATGGTCTTTGGATATCTCATTTTTTTTTAATTTTTTTCTTTTCCCTCTTTTGTTTTTGGGATAGCTAATTTGCAGTCGGCGTATTCTAGAGTACCGTGACTTCACAGTAAGGGCCAAGTCGCACCAATCGCCATCGGCCAAAATTTTGAATGAATCTGGACAATCTTTGTCCATTCAAAATCTTGGTGGATGTCGAGCGGTGCAATTACCGTCTTCACCCGAAAATAACGCCCGGGCGTTGTATACGAATGTAACGCCCGGCGGTATTCGTTTATAATCACCGGGCGTCATATTCAGTGAATAGGTGGCAACTTCGGCTGGGCCCCAAAGTTCCGAAACAAAAAAATCTGTTAAAAAAATATGTTGTGCAGGATTGCAATGCGACCAGAGTTTTCATTCATTACAAAAGCTCAAGGGGAGGCCGGGAATCCTCCACAAACAACCCGGAGTGAGCACAGCACAATATTCTGGGGCCAATACCCAGTGTTAGGCTTGGGCGTTGGGAAGACGTCCAGAGACAAAATGGTCAGTGCGAGACCGTTGCTCTGACTGATCCGCAACCCCACAGTGCGAGACCGTTGCTCTGACTGATCCGCAACCCCAGTGAAAGAAAGGAAAAAATAACAAACCATAACCCTCAGGGCCTAAAAACCGAACAAGCACAAAAGGTACCCAGCACTGCCTACCTAACCATGGGAAAAGGAAAAACAATTCCAACTGAAAGCCTAATCTACTAAAAAGGGAGAAGAAACTGTCCAATTAACTCGGCCTAATCTATCCTATCAAAATTCTAAATCCTGCCACCTATAGTCGGTGGTTAGAGACCCGCTGGTTTCAACAAATTGTGATGACGCTCCTTCCTGACCTTTGAACCCCATCTGCCTGACTCCTGTGGCAAAGAAAACCGAGCGTCCTGGTTGGGACACCAAACTAACTAATCCGAAAGAACCCATCGTCCCAACACTAACTGTCCCTTCGAAGATATGTTGCTTATTTGAGTGCTTAAACACCAAGTTCTCTGGAACCATGATCTTCCTGGGCCTGGTGTTGCACAGCCCTTCCTTCTCCAATCTGCCTTAATCGATCTTCTCAGGTTGGCCTTGAAGCGGTGCTGAGTTCTCTCCTGTTGAAGACTCTGCTGTTCCGTTCAAACCATACCACGTCTGAGCCAGCTGCTCTGGCTGTTTGGGCCACGTAACCCCAACCCGAATCAATTTGCATATTGTCAGGGACGCCCCCTAACAAGACCCACTCTCTGGACCACTCAAAGGACTGCCCAGTTAGCGATTGCCAAAACTTCCCCCACCATTTCCAAATTCTGTCTGAAGCTGGGCAATCCCACCACAGATGTGGTGTTAATTCAAAGGCCCACTGACATCTACTACAGGTAAGATCCAGTAAGATGCCCCTCTGGGCTAACCATACGGATGAGGGTGTGGCCATATAAGACAGTAGCCACATCAGTCCTGCGTGTCTTTGGTTGGGAATAACCTTAAGCTGTTCCCAGCATCTAGAGATCGACTGCCTAATCACCTCAGGGGAGATTTGCAACACCTGCAGCCATCTGCTCACTGCAACTGCCAGCGGTTGTCTAGGTGGACTTAAAATTCTGTACCCCGTCCGAGCAGTATAGTTTACTAACGGGAGGTTCTCCCCGTTCTTCCCCTTAGCTCTCCAAGTCCAGAGGGCAGGGTCGAGTCTTATAGTCTCTATACATTGTCCTTCTGCAAACACTGTGCATACTAGAGAATCATCCTGTCTGACCTCTTCAAAGACCCTGACCTGGCATAGTGCTGATCCCAACTCTGGGTGGGGGTCTTCCTCTTCCAGCTTAAGCAATTGGTTGGTAGACGATTGTACAGACCAGCATTGAAAGGTTCTTCTATCTTCCGTGTGAGCAATCAGTTTCCAGAATTCCGGAGAACCATTGGCGGAGCGGTACCAGGTACCCGGAGGGTCAAGACCCGCCGGGTCTAGCCGTTCCTTCCAGGCCTCCGGAATGGCCTCTAGGACTGTATTCCTTTTCCCTTCTACGTTCCTCATGGAGCCGAGCTTACTCTGAAGTTCTTCGACAGTGAACCAGCGGCTGCTTATCGGGTCCCAGAGATCCTTAATAGTTGCAACTCCCTTCTCCATCCAGGCTCGTCCAAAGCTGCCTTTGCGCCTTAAGCCACTGGTTCGACGCATCTGTTATATGCGGATTCTCGAAGATTGGCTCGTTGAGGACTTCTTGCCTTGTGACTGGTTGTTCCCACGTGTCCGGTCTGAGGTATTTCCAGGCTCTGATGATTGGGGCCCAGAAACGCGATGTGACTATTCTTCTCTGGTATGAAAACATTAACAGTGCTGTCCATACATCTTCCGGCCGAGCGAGACTCCACTCTCTCATCAGGATCTGTTCACCTAGCACTATCCAATGCTCAGTTCTTCCTGACGAGATCGCCTTGATGATCTATTGCACCAATGTAGCCGCATTCTTTCTGCTTGGATCTGTCAGTCCCAATCCTCCCTCTTCACGTGTCATAGTAATCAAATCCCAGGCGACTTTTGGGATAAAGGAGTCCTCTTCAGATGCAAAGGGTTTCCACTCAAACTTAGAAGCTCGTCCTTTTATCATTGGGCACAGTTGGCTTCCCAGTTCCCGAACTGTTCCTACATACCAAAGTAAGGAGAAGAGTGAAACATTGACTACCATTACCCTGCCGAAAATGGACAGATGCGGGGCTTTACCCCAAGAGGCAAGCCTCTGTAGTGCTTTTTGAAGCAGCATGTCGTCCTGGTCCGCGTTACAGTCGTACAGTGCTATTTATATTCCCAGAAATCGCTCTGATCTGTTAAGTTCAACCTGTTTCATACCCCAGCTGGTACTGGGCGCGTGCTGATCTGGCAATAAAAACACAGATTTATGCCAGTTCACCGAAGCTTCTGAGAGGGCAGAGTAGTCATCCAGACAGCTTTTAGGTGCTCCTAAGGACTCTGTGGTATTCTTGGATATGGCCAGCAGATCATCTGCTAAGGCCTTGGCTCGACATTCCAGATTGCCCACCTGCAGACCCTGTATTTGCGGGTGGGCTCTAACATTATTCATTAAAACCTCTAGTTGGATTACAAAGAGCAGGGGCGCCAGAGGGCATCCCTGTCTGAGAGATCGAGACAGTGCAAAGTTCGAGAGATTTTTCCGTTTACTAAGACTGCTGCCGTTGAGTACACGTACATTGCTGTAATCCAACTGCGGAAGTTCTCGCCAAAATTCAGATGTTTCAGCGTGGAGAGGACGTATGACCAGTTTACCCGGTCATACGCCTTTTCCAAGTCCAAGAGTAGCACCATCATGTTCAGTTCGTCCTCTGCAATGATCTCTAACGCTTGGATAGCAGTCGCTATGTTGTTAAATATCGATCGACCTCGAACAAAGGCTGCTTGGTCTTCTTTAACAAGGTCCGGTAGGACCAAACTCAGTCTTCGGGCCAGCGTCTTTGCTAATAATTTATATGATACGTTCAACAGAGCAATCGGTCGGTAGTTCCTTACTTCAACCTTATCACCCTTTTGTATAGCACTGAGATGAACTGGCCCCATCCAAGAAAACAGCTTCCTTTTTTGTATAGCACTGAGATGAACTAGCTTTTAGGAACAGCTTTACTCTTTCCCTACCCCAGACTATGCGAGAGATTGGATGGCGAGCCCCAGACTATGCGAGAGATTGGATGGCGAGCCATTTTCTGTTCCGCTTGCTCGATCTTCTTCTTGAGCCTAACTTCTTGTTCCTGTTTAACACAAGAATTCGTGAAAATACATTCAGATGATTGGAAAAGATAATGGAACCCGTCTGCCACCATTCCTCCAGCTCAGCAAAACGATCCTTCGTTTTTTCCCATTCGTCCCAAAAGGTTTTCATCCATGCGACTAGTCCCGGGTCTTGCAGGTTCTGAGTGTTGAAACGAAAGTAGCCTTTCCCTCTTGCTATCGCAGAAGTGTGCAGTTGAAGAATCACCGATTTATGATCAGAGAGAGGGTGAGTATGCGTGTTTACTGAATCTACTTGTTCCCACAATTTCTCTGAGATCAAGAAAAAATCCAATCTCCTGCTGATTATACCTATTCCCTCTCGGAAGTTTGAGAACCACGTAAGTCCTTCATCCTGCGGATGTGAAAGGCGGTACGGATCGATCAGCGAAAAGTTGTCCATCAACCTGAGTAAATTTAGAACGTCTGCGGGATTCTGGCTGCCAGGCTTTGTGGCTGCTGAATCCAAGGAAACATTCCAATCACCTGTAAAAATTATATTCTTACAGGAGGGCGTTAGATGGTTAAGCTCTTCGAAGAAGATTGCTCTCTCTTTCCTAATGGTAGGGGCATACACATTCAGAATAAGCCATTCTTCCTCATCTATCCATACCTTTAACCAGACCCACCGACCCCGAAGATCCGCGTAATAATCTAGGATCTCCAAACCTGCATCCCTATGAACCAGGATGGCAACCCCCCCTCTGGTGTCCTGAGCGGGCGACCAGATTTGGGGACCATCCCACCAGGAGCCCATCTCATTAATTCTATCTTCGTTTAATTTAGTGTCCTGCAAACATACCACCTGAACCCCCTTGTCGTGGATCCATGATTTTAGTCTGGCTTTTTTTAACTTACGTGAAGCGTCTACCAACCCTCTCAAATTCCAGGTAGAGAAACGAAGTCTACCCATTCATGCTTAGTCTCCCATTCGTGTGTTGGGTTGGAGCAGCCGTTCCAGATGTTGACGGTGGCGTGACCCATGTGGATTGCAGAAAGTCCTTGAAAAACTTGGAGTTGATTTTCCGATCCCTTGCCAGCTTGCTGTTGAGGTCTGCCAGAAATTCCCCCGTATGAAGCGGCGGAACTCTGATTCTCCGCAGGTCCGGACGCTTTCCTTCCGCAAACCAGTTCAACGGAAGGAGCCTCATCCCTTCTTGTTCCAATTTTGCTAATTGCTCCGTCTCCATTCGTGTGTCAAAGATTGGAACAAAGAGTTTCAACTTCTTGCCATTCGTCAAGTCGTGGATGAATCTTCCCATCAGTACGTCTGGGACCAGCCGCACTATGAACTTCCCTCGAACTGCCGCTTGTACAATGTTGGAGACGGCTGTTGGCATCGGCTGCTCGGGTGAGGTCGTGCTGAAAAGTTCTGGCACCCCATCTCCACCACTCCACGCTATGACCGAGAAGGTCTCCTTGGCAGCGATGCACATGATCGACAATATTCTGTTCTCTACGTTTTCCAACCATGGCCCAAAGCAGCAGGCGTTCTTCGTCTGGTGGTCTTCATACCAGGAGTGCCGATTACTGTTTCCTGTATACCCGATCCCTCCGAGCTTCGGATCGACGTTCGGGAATCTTCTCTTTCGATCTCGAGGCCATTGCTGTCCACTCTTCGGTGTTTTCCCGAAGTGTTTCCGGGTGTTCTTCCACCTGGTGTTGTCATGTCCGGGCGTCCCGATGGTCCTGGTACCTGCGATGAGGTCGCGGCCCCTCCTCCTCCTTGTTGAAGACCTCCCACACCTGCCGGGAATAAGCATGTAGGTTGAAGTGTGTTCTGTGGCTGGTACGGTTGGAAGCCTCCTCCGTTCCCGGGACCCATCATCCAGCTAAACAGACCCAATGGTTGCCCGAGTGGGAGTTGACCATTCGACTGAGCAAGCGCCATCTCCTGAAGCAACTGTGCAAGAATTCCATTTGGAAGCACAGGCTGTGAAGGCACCATGTAGGTTGGATTCTGGTACACATTTTGGAAGGGCGCACCTGGAGCCTGATTGCGTCCGCCTTCTGCTTCAAGTTGCGTGGGCACTGGATGCGCATTTCCCCCTCCTGATCCCAACGGGCCCTGGTACACCGGTCTTGACGAAGCTTCTTGTGCTGATTCCGCTCTTCGCTCTTGACCTCCTGACCCTCCCTGTTGTTGTCTTGATCTTCCCGTTCTTCTACACTCGTCTGTCGAATGAAAGAAGGTCCGGCATCTTCGGCATCGCGGTGTATCCGACGAAGCAAGCTTGACGACAAGCTCGTCCCCTTCGAAGGTATCAACAGTGATTGAGTCCTTCATGTTTTGCCTGGCCTGTGGGTCCAGGTCAAATTTGATGTTGACCAACGCTGGTCTCATTCTGTCTTGCTTCGGCGGATGAGCTCGGAGGACTGGGCCGATCGCTCTTCGGATGTGAGCCTCCAAATAAAACATAGCGTCCAATGGCACTTGCACAACGATGATCCAGAAGGTCAAAAGCTCCTCTATTCTTCGTTGATCCCTCAGCTGTGCATTCGTGAGCCATGGCTTGAACTCAAGCTTGTATGTGGTGCCTCCGAGTTCAACTTCCGCACTACGTTTGTCGATGAGCCATGCAAAAATTGTAATACTCTTCGCTACATAAGAGGCAGCGTTCAAACTTTCGACCTTAACTCGGCCCCTACTAAAGCCTTCTCCGACATCGCCCATCTGAACTCTCTCATCTTCGTACGCCCGAATGAGATCCTCTTTCACGTTTCTTGGGAGAAAGCGTGCTGCCTATCTAAATATCACCATGACCGTTCTCTCCTTTAGCCACTGCACCTTTAGACGGTCTATAGACTCGTTGACTTTGAATCTAACGTCTCGTCCTTGGATCGTCATTTCCCCAGGATCAATATCACTGGGTAGAATACCATCCTCATAACAGAGACGAAGTAGCTCACGTACTCTTCCATCGTCTTCACCAGTCTCCTCCGGGGCGGGAGGAGGGGACCTGTTTGGTATCCCTGCTCCCGCTTCCGGCTCCATTAAGAAGGGATGGTGTCTTGGGAGTCTTCCGTAAGTGTGCGTGTGTGCGGACAGGAGGGTGAGCTAAGCAAACAACCACTCGTCAATAGAGCACGAAGCTTGACCTAACATGGGGGATCCAAAAACCCACAGAGTGAGCGTCAGAAAGTTGATCATCAGACCTAGTACATTCAGACTAATTGTGTAGTCCTAATAAGGACGTAGCGATGGTGGTTAGGGGAGGAACCTGTTAGACATGTGTCGTCAAAGCTAGCAGGGAGAGCTGATTTTCGTCAGTTTCCCTGGTCTTGCTTGGAAGAGTAGGCTAGGTGACGTCACTTACAGACCGCCGTCTTGCTGGCCGCGGGAGCTGTTGTCCTACGTTCTCCGTTGCCGGTCGAACAACGCTTGGTCCGAGCGCAAAATTAGTGTCGGCGGAAGCGCTACCGGGCCTCCCCAATTTTTCTGGAGACTTGTAATAGCAGGACCAGAGTTTTCCATCTGGTATGAGTGAGTGATAGTCTACTGTGATTTTGGTTAAGGTAGATTATCATTTACAGTGTAATCAGTGAGGGGATTCTGCAGACTGTTGAGGGTTCAGCCTCCTGATGAGTCGGTGAAACTCCGACGAAACAGTTTGTCACRRCCCCTCGTTTGTTGTCCTCTTCTCTCTCTCTGCCTAC